GTTATATGTTCTCCTATTTAGTTTTATAATAATTCGAAAAAATGAGGCGGTTTGTCAATTTGACCGTATATTTTTTGTATGTTCTCATATTACATCGGCTTTAAGAGAAGATATTGATGATTCCTTTTTGTCGTAAAGAATTTATCCCAGGGGAAATGTAATGATAACAGTGATCTGCTGATGGCTTCTTAAAAAATACAGGTTAATCTTCGAACTAAAACAAAAGTAGCTGCTCCTTGCGGTTTTACTGTCTTAGTTCTGGATTTGAAACTATCTCCATGAAAACATTTCATTCAAATCAGTCCAATAGTTTTTAAGTTATCAATTGTTTTTTAGGTTCTCACGTGACTTAAAGAAGAAAATATCTTCTACCAACAATCAAAAAACACAGTCATCTTTAATATGACAATTTACTAGCATTCACCGGATATTACACCACCCTACACTTATGACAACGGATGAAACATACTTATCATGTATCCGTACATTACAAATTAAGTTCTTCCGCCTTCCGTTTCAAACAGTACTATTGACTTTTTGTAAGTATTACACTTTGTAACAATTTTATGTCCAAAGTCTAAAGATATAACACCTATATAATTTGTATTTAATTTCTTTATTGATTTTTTTTTTCAACGTTGCAAATTAGTGTGTTCTTATTAAATTACAAATATATCCTAACTCGATAGTTCGTAAGTTAATGTTGAAAATATGACTATTTCATATCACGATACTAAACCCATCACATCATAACAAAAGGTGGAAAACTGTCATTGTTATGTCAACTATCAGAATCATCTTCTGATCGGTCTCTTATTGAAGTTGTGCTGCCTTTTTCTTCAGATGTCTTCAGTACGTTGTTACGGGGCCTGCCTTTTGAGGAGTAATGTGTACTCTGGAAAATCACTCTGGAGAAATGCACCAGGAGTGACAGTACATAATAATTTGAGGCTAAAGCACACCAATGAAAAACTAGTTGTTTTTTTAGTTGTTTTGATAGCTCATCAATCCTGGAGAAGCTAGGTTTTATATTCTGTGATACAACGTGACCAATGCGACACGTTCACTCATTCACGAACAATTTAGGATTATTCAAAACAGATGATTAGTGTACAAATCAACTTACAAATATAAAAAGGGATGGATGTTAGAAGTCTTGTTCAACTAGACAAATGAGAATCGTTTGAAGGTAGTAATATCTGCCACTAAGAAATCATATCTTAAAATAGTTTGTTCATTATCTTATTGCTTTAGTGACAAATATGAAGTATTACAATTTTCATTAATAATAATTAATTAAAAGTGTTTATCAGTTTAAAGCTCCCTATTTGTATTCTCGGTAAGATAAGACTCGCTTTACGACAAAGGCTTTCGGATAAGGAAACTACTGAGATTTTAATGGTCGACGGAAGCATTAGCCGTGAAACGAAATGTCTTTGAAGCCAAAGGGAGCTCTTTTAAGTAAAATCTAGATATGACAGAAAATAAATGTAAGCTAAGTTACAACATCGCAAAGATGTTTTGTTTATCAAAGACATACATTCTTGAATTGTTTAGTTTAAGCGGGAAAAAAAATCTTTTAAAATAAAATAATCAAGCAATGTAAGATTATTTAATTTGTATAAAAGTACCTCACTCTATATTATAATTATTAATTGATATTATTTAGTGTTTTTTATTCAATTAAGTTTGATTAATGATTTTTTTTAATTGAAAGAAATCGCTTTCCAATATAATTTTCGTCATGGGACATGCTGCATAAAAATATATATATATTTTTTATTTGTTATCTAATAATAAACTAAGAAATACTCACAACTAACGGAAAATGTTGTTGTATATTTAAATAAATATATGAACAAACATTTTGCGATTAAATCATCTGGCGTCTTGCAAATAGGGACGAACAAATGCTTTGAAGTTGTAACAGAGCCTATTTGTAGAGCCTCAGTGGATTTTGTAAACTGAATCGTGATCGTTAAGGACGTTTCTTTTGAGCTGAGATTTGATTTAGAAATAAAATATATATTTATTGAATTACAAAAACATAAAGAGAATTATGTAATTAACATAATTATTTTTACTTAGCGCTGTAACGTGTATTCAAATTGATTACTTTCGACTGCGACCAAGCTAAGCTGTAGCATCATCGATCAATTTGAACGATTTACTACAGCTTGAGAGAAGCTGGAGGGGAAATCTGTATCCGTGCGATCCATCACATTTCGATCTTTTTTTCTTTATGAACCTGCACGTTCAGCAAAATGTTTTGTTAATTAATTATTGTTCAGGTTTTGAATTGATTTCCAATGTTTTGTACACTTTAACCCTGTCTCAGTCTACTATATCTTTAATATTAAGTTATGTCATTTGATAAACAATAGTATCGTTTATTGTATTAGGTATAGCAAGTTTTTTCAAACTTAATACACTTGCAAATAAAAGTATTTCAGAATCACAGTAAAATATAACGACAAACGTTTAATTTGTGACGAACTGTCCAGAAACGATGTTCGAATATCGTGGAGAGTCATATTATAACACACATTAAAACGTGTCTTGTGCTTTTTTCTGTTGTAGTTTTTCAAAGTATGAATTTAATATTGTGAGGAAAGAAAGGATTCAATAATTTTTGTATTTGATTGGACAATATATTATGTTTTATAATAATACTTTAAGTTTTGGAAGAACAGAAAGAAAGCCGACTAAATATCTACAACACTAAAAAGAGTAACATAAAAAATAAGATGTCACTTTATTGATGAACATCGTTCTGTTAGTATTGAATTATCTTATTGAAAGCTTCTGTTTTATCAAACCATCGTTCTCATGCAACTCAACTTGGTTGAGAGACTTCGATTTTAATATGTTACACATTGAAGAAACATTTAGTGATAACTGACATTTGTACAGAGTTTCTCTGGTTTAATTGTTTCACAAAACTGATATTATAATGTCATTATAATAACACCGATTCGATTCCTTATCATTTATTCAACTGTATAAGTTCAAAAAGATGTAACGTTTTATTTAGTTGTAGATTTGTTCTATAACTCAGCACATTACATTTATTTGAAATATAAACTAGCCTTTTTTATTTAATTAATAACATATTTTTATTACATGACGTCACGTTAAAAAAGATTCGTTTCTCATGTTTAGAGAGCGGGGTGTAGTCCGCTTCGTTTATCGGTCGTCGCTGGGCCAGGTTGTGGGGGGAGCGGTGTAAAAATGTATTTGAGTGCAATCTCCGGCTTCGGAAGGGCGGAAACACCGGGGTTGCCTTTGTTCAACGACCACCGAGAATGCCCGTGAAAGAGCTTTGGACACCTATGAATTTTCATGTTGAAATTGTTGTGCAGTCAAGAGGAAAAATTAAAATTTGATTCAAACTTTTCCTTGATGTAATATTAAGTTCAGTTGGTAACCTTATCTGGAACTTTTCTACTGGAGTTTTTATTATTTTCTAATTACTACAATGATGCTAATCTATCTGTAATTCAGGGCTTAAGGAGTGCAGAAACAAGACTGTCAAAAATACATATCTTTATGAAAAGTTCCTTATTCTTAAACCTTTTCATGTTATTAAATAAAACATTATAAACTCCAAACTCATATTTTATGATTTCACCCTGTAGAGGGTCGTGACATTACTTAATAATGAGGATTACGGACGAGGTTTTTGAACAGAGTTTTACATTTTATAATCCTAATCGCTTCCTGTCATTAAATTTATATTAAATCATTAAGTAAGAGTACTCAATTAATTTACTCAGCGTACTCGGTTGTTAGTTGGAAACAAAAACAACGAAAAATTAGGTGCTGTGAAGTTAAAACAAAACACTTATAACAACACAATCAGACTTCACAATGAGATAAATAAAGAGTTCGTTATTTTAAAATCACTAACAAGCTCCTTGTGCTACTTGTGTGTCATTGGAGAGAATCGAGTCAGCCACAAAACAACTGTAGCTCATGTATTATTAATGAAACAAACCAAAGTATTAAGGACCGACCGACGCAGGACACAGTGACTTATATTGATATGTACGAGTGTCTGAAGACGCCTGAAGGCATAGTGTGTGAGTGAATGGGACTTCAGGTGGGAATTTAGGACACATTTCAGATTTAGGAAGAAAATTAAGGAATACTATTAAAAGATGGCGTAAAAAAGGATGAAAGATTAAATTAAATTTGAAGAACTTCCACGTTCTAAATATTAGTTCGTAATTAGTTGATTATAATCCCACATTCATCATAAGGTAAAAAGAACTCCGTAAAATTAAAATTAATTTCATAACGTCAAACAATTTAATTAATATATTGTGATGATTCTCTTCCATGAATTCAAATTCAAGCATTTTCTAGGTCTTTGTCTTGTTTTGATCTATTTGTGAAGCGCAGAAATTTCATTAAAATCCTTTCACTGGCATTCGGATAATAAGAGAGCTGTTAATATTAAGCTTCTTAACTTTTTGAATCTGTTCTGTTCTCTTATATTTAATTTTCCCTTGTCATTTGCAAAATGTAAGCTATTTATAATTACCTTAATTACCAAGCTGTTTGTGGTTACTTTACATGCTTCAGTATCTGAACAGTAAGCAAACACAGGACTTTTTCTTATGGAGTACCGTCGACTGAGAGGAAATCTTTTTTTTATTTATAAACGAAGTCTGTCTGTACGCCGCCTCCTAGTTGTCTGTAGCTTAAAATGTACAAGAGGTAGGAAGTAGTTTGGCAATTCGCCTGGTTTTATAAATTTTACGAATGTGTCGAGACAGAGATGTTCTTGTGTCTGCCTCGTTATATAACGTGTACAAATGTACTCGTACTTGTATGAAAAACGATGTTTTCATAAAATAACTTTATATGACAGAAACAAAACAAATATTTCAGAAGATAATTCAAAATGTATATAAACACTATCCACTGTAATTAGTAAGACATTGAACATTTTAGGGTCGACAAGAATTTAAGGATTAGCGGTGAACAAGTCAAACATGAGAGGGAATAGTTTAATCCAGTTGTTCTTGGGCCGCTGTTTGCTGAAGAGTGAAGGTCTGAGACGATTGTAAGTCTTTAATATGTTTGACTCTTTGTTTCCTAACTAACACTATTGACAAAGTGAACACAGAATCAGTAAATACATTAGTATAAGACCATGTATTACATTTTTTAAACATATGTATTACGTTTTTTAAACATAAATGTTGAGGTGCCGTAAAATATTTCCTTTTGAAAAAAGATTTTGTGTTAATTAAGAAAAATTATTAAAAAAACATTCCTTAAACAGTTCAATGGAACGAAATAGATTAATAAATGGATATATTTAGATGATAATTTAAAAGAGGAGCACATTTCTTGAATAATATTTAACTAAATAAAACAATAACTCAGCTCGGTTTCCCGATATTGGCAACAATAAGGCCTCGAGTAATTATTATTCGTCGCTTGTTTACTGCTCGCTGGCGCTAGTTGATTTTCATTTTAATTGAAACTCTTCGTCCTCGACGATTTATTAATAAAGAATTATTTGACTTAGATTAATAACAGCTTTCACTTTACTTTATTTAGTTGATATTGACGTTACGGTTGTCGGATATGATCGGTTGAGATTTATAAATAATATAATATACACTCTTCTACACTATACCTAGTAATGTTTTCAATCTTACCAAATTATTACTTACTATAATAATAACATTGAGGATTCTGTGAAAGATTGTTAATTGAAAATTATATTAATGTAATATTTGATTGAATAAATGTTTAATTATGATGTTGAACATCTAATTAATATTCTATCTGTTGGAAGACAGATCATTATGTTTATGTCAATAACACGTTCGCTGAACCGCTACACAACCGATGTTATAATATATGATTATAACTGGAAGTAACCATAACATAATTATATTTAATATTTCGTAATCCTAAAAACTACATAATTTAATTGTTTTATTGCTTGATAAAGCTGGGTATATAATATATATAAGTATTGAATATGTCGTTATTACCGGGAGTAACCTGCGAATGTTTTTGAATCGTGGAATATTCGGTCCAATCAAGTGAAACGCAACAATTTGCTCCTTTGTGTCTGTAATCACGGAGAAATTACTTCACCAGCCTTCACTCATTTCTCACTAATTTTCATTTACGCGCCATAGACAATTCAAATTTAAATTAATTTACTTAATTTGATTGAAATATTTTAACAAATTTGTGACAATTATTTTCATTAATGGAATATAATACAACTTTATTTTCTTTATCTAATATCAATGAAACATCATATTTGGACTATCTCAATCATAATAATATTATGCTCTTTACAGTTTATGCACGTCAATAAGTTCCATAGTAATGTGTACATTCGTTAGTGGGGATCAAATAAAAGGTATGACAGATTCAAATGAAGTCACGAATTGAGGTAAGCAGCTTTTATGAAATTGAAAAAGAGTTTGTCCTCTTTATATGAGATTACTTAAGATGTCGAAGATTTGCTGAAAGTCAAATAATATTGTGAGAGTAATCGGATGAAGGAGGGTAATGCTAACGTTATTTGAATTTGTGAAATGCTTATGAAGTATTAACTTAAACCGACATAATTTATAATTATGATTCTGTACATACAAAGATGACAAACGAGGACATGTAAAAAAATAAGGATAACAAATTTATTTGTGATTGACATAAAGCATCTCTTTATGTTTTAAAAATTATACTTGAGTGCACATTATTAATAAGAAACAACAGCAATAGAATAGTCAGTTTAAAATGTAATGACGAAGTAGTACAACAAGGGCGTCTTATCTTTTTATTATTTGTATTCTAGATGACTTCAAACTGATTCACGGGGGGTGGGAAGTAGTAGGATGAATAACTGTTTTCTTAATGACATAATAAAAAAACAAGCAAACAGAAATTATTGATACCTGAATATATTCACACATCTAATTAATATAAAATAATGTTATAAAAAATATATTATTTTTAAGATTCTTTAACTAAAGATAAATAAGGTGGAAGAGCCTTGCTGTGGTCTAGTTACTACAGCTCGAACACGGGCTGACTTGACCGGGGAAGTACCACCCTCTCATAGAAGATCGGCGTGAAATAGTCTTTAATGGCTACTGTTCGTCAGATGAGTGAGCAACATATGCTGCAGATGTCGATGGGTGACTGTCACTACTGCCCACCAAGAAGATCGTTTGCTCGCTTACCACCTTTCAAATAAAAAAATCTTTTCTAAACAGTATAGGTATAATAATAATTGATATGGCAAGTTATTTCAATTACAATGCTTGGTGATAACGATGGTGTATGATTGATGAGGGTAAAAAATAAAAATAGTCAGTGGTGGCCTAGTGGTTAAAGGGTCCGCCTCTCGTTGCCGAGGGCGCGGGTTCAAACCTGGCAAGTACCAATGTGATTTTTCGGAATCATATGTACTTTCTGAGAGTATTTAGATACCACTGACATACGGTGAAGGAAAACATCGTGAGGAAACCTGGACTTATAGTTTCACAATTATAAGTTTGAAATCACCAACCCGTCTTGAGCAGGCGTGGAGATTAATGCTCAAACCTTCTCCATGTGAGAAAGAGGCCTTTGCTCAGCAGTGGGCGCTGATAGGCTGATGACGAAAAAATAAAAGACAATTTTCATTTAATATTTAGGAACTAGAAGATTGGATGTAAATGTGATTAAAACAGATGAGTATTTAATTCACTATCAGTTTAAACAATGTTTATATAATTAAATTATGATTTCATCATGTTAGTTTTACGTGAGGAACTGAAATAGAACCAGAGAAATGATAACATGTTTGTTGTTGTAAATTTGAATTTTAATATCAAAAATTATTTTATATAAAGTGAATTCTTTTGTATTATTTTTTCATCCATATCATGTTCAATTCAGCGTTGAGTAGTGAGTAAAGTCCAAGGGGCTCAGCGTGGCAGTCGATGACACTATGGCGAGTCATTGACTCGCATCACTTGCAAATATTTATTATTTATTTTGTATATTCATTCACAGATTTAAATTAAAAATTATAGTTGAATTATACATTACTGATATCCAGTTTTATTTTATCTATTGCAAGCCAGATTAAAAAAAAAAGCTTAACTACGTTAACATTAAATTAAAAAAATGTTAATCCTATTGAAATTCCTTCATTCTGAAAAATTTTACTTGCATTGTAGTTTCATCAAATCACACAACATTTTTTATTAATATTTAGCATTTATTAATAATTATAGTGTTTATAAGTGAAACGCAAATGTTGAACACTGTTTAAGCAAATTCCTCGAATACTTCAAGGTGGGACTTTACATAGTTAACTTTTGTATATACTAAAGTGTGCAAAGTTATTTTTTATTATATTTATTAGATATATATTATATTATATCAAATTATAATTGCACATCCATTCACGATTTTTTATAAAAATAAAACATGTCAATTCGTGAAGATTCCACCATTCATTTATAGTCATTATAACATAAAGTCAACCATTCCATTCTTCTGTTGAAGCTGAAATAAGTATTATCGGAAGAAGATTTTTCATACTTGTGCGTTTATAGTTATTAAAAAATGTGTTTAAATCGAAAAACTAAATTTGCACTGAAAATATATTTTTATTGAATTCCTTATTCTTCTCATACCTCACCGCACCGTAGGTACTGTACGGTGTACCGTAATTCAAAAGCAAACATTATAATATATCCAACACACATCATTGCAGCGGGCAGAGAGAGCTAGCGTTGTATTTTGATATTCGAAATGTCTGCGAGAATTCAGGAAGCTCTCGGCAGATATGTTGACCAAACAGCAAGCTCCGCCATTGTTTGAAGATTATGCTACCTACATATATATGAACTAAATATTTAGCCATCAGATCTCCAAGCAGAATATTTGTGACGTCAAGTGGCCAATTCAACACATACTCGTAGACTTATTCCAAATTTGTTATAATTTTCTTCTTTAATGTTATATACCAAGGTTAATAAGCAAACTAATTCAGTATCTAGTTACTTATTTACATTCACTTCATTTTTATAACAGACTTGAAATAGACTTCTTATTTTGCGTATCGTATTAAAGCTACCCCTCATTACTATACACTGAAATGAATAAACTGTGACAAATTAGGAACATGACAGTCTGTAAGAATGAGGGTGACATCAGGTAATTATCACCCTCTCAAAAATGCTGATTGTGTGTCGTGAGTCAGCTGTTGTTATATACAAGGGGACAGTATCTTAATTCACAAAATATATGTATAGTAAAGCTTCTACACGGAAAGTCGGTTTCTACGTAAGAGGTCAAAATTTAATTGTAATAACTAAAAATATTATGACGCAGACTAGAATGTCAACATGGATTTACGGGAAATGCGTGAGATTATAACTAGCATATTATATAATAATAATATTAATATAGACAATATAAAACTCCCCAAATTTCACGCTTGTGTCGCCCACCGCAGACAATGCGGACGGGACGGGAGCTGTGGACGTAAAATGTTCCCTGCGAATAATCTCGTTAAGTAACCGAGAGCAAATAATAACAATTGTGTAACGAACCGACACGTCGGCTCATTACAGCTGACGAACGTGTGGTTTTAATGAAATCGCTCAAATACACATATTATTTAAAATTATTATATTTGTGGATAGTTGGCACGGTCGTATAGTTAGCGGTCACAGCTCCCCTCAAACTTTATTATACTTTGTCTGAATAATATGTTGGAGGTCGCTATTACCTACACAGACATTTTCAATCATTATTAAAACCTGATTTTCAACCGACTTCCGACTAAAGAGGAAGTTATTAATAATTCGTTTATATGTACTTTTTAATATTCGTTACTCAATAACTTACAACTATCAATATTTTTTCTATTTGAAAGCTGATGGTCCAGTTTTGATAATGTCACCATGAGAAAACCATATACATAAGTCTAAAATTAGCATTTATTTTTTATATATGACCCACAGATCCAGATTCCTGATCGAAAGTAGTCACCGTCGCCTATGGACATCTGCAATATAAGAGGTGTTGTAG